AAGAACGCCAAAAACTTTTCTTTTTACCATGCCGCTAGGGAGCCAAAACTATGAGTGCCGGAATTGGCCCTACCTGATCCTGCGAACGCCCTTGTTTAAGCATTGACATTTGACATATCCAAATTGGGTCCAGTCCTTTCAACGCTTCTATCTCAGTTGATGATGACGTGATATCGCAATCTTAGATTGCATAGCTTGTTCTACACAAGCTCACAGAAGAAGTGTTCTAAAACTGAGCTGCACTGTCAGTGTCCTGCGCAGTGAACAGCCCACTTCAGAAGCGGCTCTTTAAGAAGGACAACTCTAGAGTCTCTCCACCAGCTGCAGTGGCCATTGGCAGCATTGCAGCTGCGTCAGCTGCTGAAGAAAAGGAAACAGATACGACTTTGAAGGAGGCAAAAGTCAAGGCTGAAAAGAAAGTGAAGGACGACTCGAAGAAGGATCGGTTTGTTTGGACAATTAAGGAAGATAGAGCGTACTCGCAATATCTTCACGAGCGTATCCGACAGAACAACGCCTCTCTTCCATACACGGCATCCTCTCCCTTCTTTGAAAAGGCTGTGGCAGATCTCCTTCAAGATAGTGTCCTGGCAGCAAAAGTGAATGCTTATGAGGAAGCATGCCCAGGAGGCAAAGACAAAGTCAAGTGGGTGGGTCAAAAGCTCGGAGACAAGTACAAGTCATATGAAAGGAGGTTCAAGGTAAGTTTCCTGCATTCGTCCCCTCTTGCTTCTCTATGCGTAGACATGATTAGAAGATTCTGTCTTGCATCTGCCGCTGTAGATACAAACTGCTGTTGCTTGAGCGGCTGCATGATATGATGACTTTCTTGCCTAGCAACCTCAGCGGACAACATACAATTCAAATCTGAGGGGGAGAAACTCTTGCTCAACCCAAAAGAGTCTCAAGTTAACTTCAGCTAGGTTCTCTCGGAGCATTGTGTGGTCGTGCAAGATCCAGGTCTTCTGACTGAAACAAAAAGTATACCTCAACTTCGAACACCTTGAGAAGCAGTATGTTCATTTGACCAATCAAAAGCAACCGTACCTGACAGTGGCTTGCGGAGTACAACCAACGTACTTGACTCTGACAGAAACTCTTGCCATGTCCGCAAGATCTCTCCAGCTACGTTCTTTCGAAGCCTTGCATGGTGGTACCAATCAGAGTTCATTTGCAATCTTTTTCTGTCTCATGAGAAACTTTTTTGTCATGTGCAGGCGCTGGAGGCTAAGCTGAACAAGTCAGGGAACGGTGTGGGATTTGAGGACGAAGACGACGTGTGCGAAAAGGAGGGACCAGAAGTGAGTGCTTTGCTTACTTTCTTCGATTGTATGTGGCCATTGGACCCTGTTGCAGAAACATGTTGAATTGGAAACTTCCAGGTTGATGATCGAGCTTGTTCGTGAACGAGTTGGCACGAACTTTTCGGAGGGAGCTAGGTATTGTTCAGTTCCTGCTTGCAATGTACTATGTGGCCATGTCATGGCCGAACTGTCGAATCAGGTTGCACAGGTGCTTGAGTCATTCGATTCAGCTCTTCCTTCTTCTCGATTGTGAGTACTTCCAAAGCCATGAGCGAACGAGCCGCCTCAATCTTTTCCAATCACCTTCGAACGATGATCTCTCTTGGTCGAACATTTGCAGCTCGACAACAACCAGAGTACCCCGGCTCTCGCAACGGAAGCGACTGCAAGACCCCTCGAAGCTGAGCCGTCCGCCTCAGCCAGACCCAAACCCCGCAGCAAGTCCACGAACTGGCCCTTCAAAAGTGCTGAGGAGAGAAGACTGTACGAAGAATATTGGGTTGATCTCTGGGGTGCTACGGCCGCCGTAATTCAGCCCAACCGGAGAAACGCGCGAGCTGAAGCGAGGAGTGCACCAAAAGGGAAAGCTGCAGAAGACTCCGTTGATGTTTCCGGGGCAGAGGGGGCGACAAGAGAGACCGATGCATCCAACAGGTCGAGGAAGACGGGCAAGGCAGCGGGCTGTCGGAGGGACTCGAAGGAAGAGGACGAGTACAGCGGGGACGACGAGGACGGTCCAGGGCTGTTTTCATTCATGCGTTGGCAAAGGAACTTCCAGGAAGAAGGTCAGTACTGGTTTCACATGTGACCAGGATCAGTTTATCTTTGAAGGAACTTTCGTTCACCTCCATTTCCGTGCCCGGTCTGCCTCAAGGCTTCAGGAGAAATCATCGAGCTTGATAGGCGGGTCAGCTCGCCTCCCGGCATCCTTGTTCTGTTGGGTAGGCCTTACGTCTGCCGTGTCTGAGGCAAGCGTTGAACCATGAGCGCCTCTATGCTTCCCGTGCTGATGTCTTCCATTATTGTTCTTTGGCCAGGCCTTCGACGAAGAGCAGAAGCGGAAGGGGCGAGCGCACGGCTTCTTGAGAAGGCCGTAAGCGCAACCCAGGAGCTTGGGCACACAATCAAGACGGCGACGGCCCAAGGAAACGCGCTGCAGATCACGACCCTCGCGAGCTTGACTGGCCGTTCGCCACAAGAGATGGCACTTGGCATGTCCGATCCGTCCTCTTTATTTATGGGACAGTTCAACCATCAGCAATCAAACACGAATGCTCCTTCCACCCAACAGGCTCCTCAGGGGCCGTCAAACGACACTGTTTAAAAGAAAGGAACCGTACGTTGTTAGATTCATTTAGATTCTTATATAAGAGTCCTCGCGAATGAAACCTCAGATTAATCGTAGGTACCATACACAAAGACTGCATTTCGAAACTCATATATATAAACTCCATACTCAAATTCATTGACCCGTTCCATTGCTTTGACGTAAAGGTGTTTATGTTGCGTGAATTTTAGTGCTCGAATTTGTTTCTTGGCACATGCGCATGTCAGACACAACCCGTAATTTGACGCTTAAACATGTGCATGGATCATGGCAAGCAGGATATCCAAGCAGTACAGTCTAATACATAGATGGCAAGCAGCTAGTCCGTTATAGTACATAGCTTTGGAAATTAAAGACAGAGTTCCGATCTCACATCTTGAAAAGTTTCCAACATTGCGTTTGCAAGATGTCGCACATGGTACGACCAATGAATAACGGAATCAAATGCTAGACATGGGATGAACGCTCTGGAAATTTACTGTGCATGACCTTGTTCGAGGTTCAAGAGACAACAAAATAAGAGCTAATATACTCACAGCGCAGCAGCTTTTTACAATGAACCTTTGAGCGAGTCGAGATATGTGATGTTCTTTGGACTACGTCGACCTAGGTGCCCATCAGTCTTGGGAAAACGGATAAATACCTCCAAGGGATAGTGCTGGGTGAACCGCTTATTCATGTGGATCAGTTCATTGCTACAGCGGCTTCCCAAGCATCCCTTTCTATTTTCAATCGTGGCAAATCTGCAGCTAGACGATCTCTATTCGACTTGAGGGCCTCTGAGAAGTTCACGGGACAGTAGTATGCTTCCCCACGATAGTACACCTGATTAGCAAGGCGCTGAAGTGCTTCTTGGTCTCTACGACTTTCCCTATACGCTTCACCATGCAACTCGCAGATGTTGTGCAACAAACAGCAAGCTAAAGTTACAGTAACAACGTTGTCTCGATTGCGCATAGGAACTTTGTCGAGCAGGATCCGCCATCTTCCCTTCAAGCGCCCAAAAGCCCTCTCAATAACCACCCGCATTCGAGAAAGCTCTTTGTTAAATGCCTCTTGAGTCCTAGACAGTCTTCCTTTATAAGGTGAAAGCATCCACTGCTTCAGACCATAAGCCGGATCTCCCAAGATGAAGTAGTTGGCCATATGCTTCGCTGTAACAGCAACGAGGACAAATGACGTCAAACCTGATCTCGAGACTTCGTGACACAAGCACAATTTATACAGCAACGATGTACGAAACGAATAAGCGTACCTTTGACACACTAGCCTGGGATTTTCACATTAGAAGAGCACGGCTGCCTCAGGAGAATTGGGAAGACGCTCTGTTTCAAAATCTGTGTATGCATCGACATGCAAGAGTCTTCTAATGCAAAGAAGAACAAGCTTTCTGTTAGACGGCAGTGTCCTTCAAAGCTCACAGCCTAGATGGCAAAAGTTTTGGCAGCTAAGCGTCACCTTCTGCCCAATGGTGTAAATCACTTGAATGCAGGATCGCCGAATCATGTGTTCGAGAAGGTGTCCCCATGTCCAAGTCCCAGAAAATCATGTGTGCATCGCACACAGCATGCAGTGTCATAGCGTGTCTCTTCTTTCGATTGTAAAACCACCTGCAGCAACGTTCAAACAAGAAGATTTTCTGTAAAACATACAAAGATCGAAGCCAGTTCTAAATCAGGCAGCACTCTTGAAAAGCTCCGACGTGTGCACTTTCGATGAAGTATTAGTCAACCACTTTGGCTCAGGCCTTTCTGGATTGTAAAGCAGCCGTCAGCCGGGTGAGGGGGCAGTGAACGATCGACTTCCACAAGCCGTATCATCTTTTAATTTTGTCCTGAATTGAGAGAAATCTGCAGTGTTTTACGGAGAGTCCTTCAAGTATCCTTACCTTTCGTCTCTGTCACTTGGCTTAGAGATATATATGTAGCTTCCGTCCACTGCACCAACTACACCAGGCAAGGCTCCCTTAAATCTGAATCCTCTCGCCATCTCCTCAAGTTTTTCCACGTCTGGCCACTGGAGAAAGTCACCCCCAAACTTGCTATTGATTGCTTTGCAGACAGGCAGGACCGAGTTTGTGATGTACGCTGTGGAAGGACTGAATTGCGAAGCCAGACTAATGAAAGCTTCTCCGCGCGCCAACCTCCAAAGAACAGCAAGAACTTTGTATTGAAAAGGGATAGGCTGATTAGGTCCTGGATTGGTCTCAAAAGCCTGGCTGTAAAGGTGTGGTTTGATTCTATTCAGAATGATCTGAAAGGTTGCTTTGGACATCCTGTAATGCCGATGGAAGCGGCGGTCAGACATGCTGTACATTGTCTTGTACCAAACTGCTGCACTCCAGTGTTCTGTTTCTGGATCCCTCCAAGGACGGCCGCGCTTGCCACCAAGGAAGTTGCCATTACGCCTTCCGCGGCTTCTCTTTTGTTGATTCTCAGCTTCCATCAGCATACAAAGCTCTAAGGCTGCCTGTTCACATTCATACTCTTCCTGCCTCCTCTGACGTTCTAGCATTGTCTGATGGACCAAAACTTGCAGGTTCTGCGCCTGTACGATGGCAGCGCAAAGCTGGACATTCTGATTCAACAGGGCAAACGAGAGCGTTAAGAAAGCAATCAGCCACTGCTGGACGCCAGTCGGCTGCGGATGCACCATGATTGACTACGCAGAGGGGGACGATGATGCTGTAATTCTTCCTTCCGCCAGATCTGAGCTGATGCATGAGCTAGATCTTCCCTCAGATCTACGAGCGCGGCGCCGCTGCGGCAGTGGCGGCCGCCCCCTCCCGGGTTTCAAGTTTCCGGCCCGGCCGCGAGTCCCTCGACCACTGAGGTTGCCGAGCTCCATGTAACTTGTGGCCTGTTTTCGGTAAGTCCGGTACGCTCGGCAAGTCGGGCAGACTCTCGGTAAAGTTGCCCCAGAGGGTACTTACCGGACTTACCGAAACCTCAATGTAACTTCTCTCATTAATTGCTCAAAGCATTCTTGGAGGAACTAATGCTCTCATGGGGGGGACTCACACTGCGGGTTTCAGTTGTTATAACGAGGGGAAGTTCTCGAATCATCTTAGACGAGCTTGCGTCCCACATTTTCAGCCTAATAGGGGAAATAATCTGCATCCAAAAAAGTAATCTCCTGGAGTAGAATGCACCCTAATCTGATGCTCTCACCGGGCCTAACACTTTGGGTTCCAGGGATCACTTTAAGGGGGGATTTTGGGTTGCTCTCACCGGGGCTGACACTCTGGGTTCCAGGGAGCACTTTAACATGGGGGATTGCGTTGCTCTTACTGGGGCTGACACTCTAGGTTCGAGGGATCACTGTAAGCCTCGGGGTTCTGGGTTGCTCTCACCGGGACTAACACTCTGGGATTAGGGATCACTTTAAGGGGAAATTCTAGATTAGAGTCGAGTTGAGCTTGCTTTCTGGTACCATTGTACCGAAGGTCATAGGGATTCTGGGAACGAAACCCGTAGGCTAGTGCGCATTATCTCTGAAGTCTGAATTAGAATTGGTAAAGTATCCAGCCTCCTTCCAGCAGAATATATGCATCGAACTTTCACAAATTAGTGCATTAGTGCATAAAACTCTGCACAGATCAGTGGACAAAACGTCGCACACATAGGTAGTCTGCACAAAACCTCCAGCTGCAATCGAACGGCTTTTTTTCACCCTAGCACAAAAGCGTTGATCTCAAAACACGGAGCACGGTTCTGCATAATTTCCTAATGGTCAAGCTTTTCCATCTCAAGAGATGGCACATAAGGAATTTGATCACAAACTATATATAGTATCGGACACAGGATATTGCGCATGATTCAATTCTCCTTAGATTGCTCAATGCACGCGCCAATTGCTACTTCAACTTCAGCCTTTCACTTTAGAAGCATGTGCACAAACTCAATGAATATGTCCACTGAAGCCGAAATTTGATGGAGCTCCTAACCACACATATCACTCGCATGCACTGAGCCACATATCGCTAAATCCACCAAGTTGTCATCAAACGCATGCGCTCTCTTTGATATTGTCTTTGGCCAACCCATTGATTACCAATCAACAGGCGGTCCACATGTCTTCCATTGTGCGCATACCTTTTCTCAACCGGAAAAAGGCGGGCCATGACAATAGCCTGTAAGGACCCTC